GAATTATCTTTTCCATGAGAATTTCTTTATTTTGGCATATTGATTTATAAGATTTATATTTTATATAATGTCTATATACAATATAATGTGTATACATTAGGCATATATGTAATTTATCACCCTATATAATGTGTATATACAATGCCTATATATAATGTATTCAGTGTTTTATGCATGTTTATACATATGTATGTATAAATATGTGTATGTACATGTATATATGTATACGTGTGTGTGTGTGTGTGTGTGTGTGTTGTGGACTGTGCAGCAAAGAAGGGAATTATAGCCAGTATTAGGTAATTTTAGGCAGGAGAAATTGTTCACACTAACTCATGAAATGTTTGATTTTCCACTTTTTCTGTTTGGCTAAAGAAAATGTTTTATCCTTGAATGCTACAAAATTTGTCACTGCATTCATTGCAGCCTTCCTATGGAAAGAGACAATGTGCATATTTTAATTCTTTAAAATATGATGTGCTTAATAAACATTTTCTACTAGCTAGAAATCTTACCCATAAGGGAAAAAGATATTTATAATTCTTTTCACAGCAGATTATATTTTAGTAGTGAAAACATCCACATTTGTAATTTATTTTTATCATGAGCTTACCCATCATCTCCTAAATGAAACAAAAAAATATGTCTTTGTATTGAGTTTAATTAGTATAGGACATATAGCTTCTTTCAGGAATGTTATTTTTTGGAAAAATGTTATTGGATACTTTTCTAGTTTTTATTTATATTTAAGCATGCATTCACATTCAAAATTGATTTTTTTTAGTTCCAAATTTCAATTGTTTATTTCACATGAAGAAGTTGTTCTTCTATAGTGTCTTAGGCATGCTGCATTTTGACGTAACTGTTTTTAATATTGTGACACAAAGGTTAATGTATTATTTTGAAAATGGGAATGTAAAGAATAATCAATTCACCATGGAGATGACTTTCCTTTGCCAGGAAAAGTCATTAAACTTTTGATTTTTTTATTTTTCAAACTTTTTATTTTATATTAGAAAATTCTTTGAAAAAATACTTCATTTTCATGTTTTTTCTTAGTTTTGTTTGATTTTTCAAAATGGTTGGAATAAAATACATCATATTTTTGCTTAGGAACCATTACTGTGATTCAGATTTCTATTTCCTTATTCTTGTTGTTGAGTACCAATCTTTTAGTGTGTTTCAAGTTTGCTGTTTATGTCTATATAATTGATTTCTTTTATTTTTAATGATTAGCTAAGGACATAAAATAACATTTTATTTTAAATGTTTTTAGTGCATTGTAGTTATACATAATATTTGGGTTAAATTTGATGTATTCATACAAGTGTGGAATATAATTTGTTCCATTTTAGTCCCAAGTACTTCCCCTTTCCCTCTTCTCTTCCCTCCCCTGTTTCCCTTCCTCTCCTCTACTGGTCTTTCTTTCATTTATTGATAGTTTTTTTAAAAATAGTGCTTTTAAAATACTCTATGGTATATTAATATGTGTATATAGCATAATTTGTTCAATTTCACTTTATCATTCTTCCCTTTTCTCAATCCTCTTCCCTCCCCCTTCCCCCAATCTCCTTCCTCTACTCTGCTGATCTCAGTTCTATTTTCATGGGATCCCCTGCTGCCCTGACACAATTTTTTCCCCTTATTTTGTTTAACCTTCCCCTGGGTTTAAATTCCACTACTGAAAAAATTGAAATTAGAAATAACATTTTAAAACAACATTTGATCACTATTTTGGAATAACACCAAAAATTTGATTATGGTTCAGGAGTTCTACCATTCCATTCAATGACACAGCATAGGTGAAGTGGCATAGACTCTTAGAACATTTGCAGACCTGACATCTCATCAGGGTCTGCCTAATAAAATATTTAGAAATAGAAGCCAGCTCATGCCATGACTAATTCAAAGAATTCTGCAAGCTTAGATTGACATCAGGTCTTTCACTGCCTGGGATGAAGCTTAGATTGACATCAGGTCTTTCACTGCCTGGGATGATCAAAGAATTTGTGTAAAACAATGTCTTATTGACTGCCAGGCCAGGCAAAGAACCAACTCACCTGAGGTCAACTCTGCCATCATCTCTTAGGTCATACTGTTCCTTTCAGCCCATATGATCTCATGAATATGGAAAGTTAGATTTCTAAAGATTGAGGCTAGATATGTGGATTAAGATATTATACCCTGTTCAATTACATTGAAATTCTACAGATGTGCACTGAGAAGTATGTTGTTTTTACTTTTAGCCAATGAAGGACTAAATTTAAACAATGCCTGAGCAGGCAATTGCTGCATTGTGTGATTGGAAAGTTTCTTCAGCCACTTGTCACAATGCTGACATTTTATCATTAGAGATCCATTTCTTTGGAGGAGCTCTGGATAGGCTACAGACTCTTCTGCAATAAAGCTCTGATTATAACCAGAAAAAATGTTTTCTGAATTATTATGTGATGCAACTTCTAGTTGAAGTTTTGACTGGAAAAAAAATAAACTATATTTGAATTAGAGTATAGAGCAAGGTCTTGTTCATTGATCATGGATAGAATATTTTAATAGAAATAGAACAAAGTTGCTTGAAATAATACCCCATCCTATTCTGATATTTTTCATACAAAAATAATAGGGAGATTTATTCTCCAAAGGATGAGTGGCAGTCACCTTTTTAAATTATTATTATTATTTTTTGTAAATCCATTTTGGACTTTGATACTTGAACTATTTTCCCCATTAAATCCCTCTTTTATACCATTTACACTATCATAAACAAAGCTATCGGGCTGTGTTTTAGGAACTGATATTGAGCAATGAATATGACAGCCATCATCTCTGAGCAGATTAGAGCTTACAGTCTAAAGTAAATAACACAATTAATGAGAAATTACAATGTGGCTTGGCACTTTTTAAAGCAAATACAAAATATAACACAGAACATGGGAATGATAAGTATATGAGATAATGCATGTGTTTAATACCTTAATCTGATTCATTCTCTACCACATTTATATATGAAAATATACAACATAAATGTGTACAATTTTTACTTGCAAAAATTAGTAAACCATTCCCCCCAAATTCAAGGAGATCATAGAAGCATTTCCCTAAAATGAGAGCACCTCAGAATAGGTGTCTGGAAGAGATGTCCTCATTTCTGAGGCAAGAGTCAGAGGACAAATATAAATTAGTAATTAAAGAAAATTGGGTATGATATTGTTCTGGGAAAAGGAAACAAAACTTTAAAGGACAAAAATAGAGGGGTACATAATATGTTGAGAAATGAAAAATAAAAATAAAAAAATCTTTATATCTAAAGCAAGAAATAGAGAAAATATTGGCATGTAGCATAGCATGAAGAAATTTTTAAGCCATAATAAGGAATAAAAATTTATTCTATGGTAGAAAAGAATTATTAGAGTATTTTAACCAGACAACCATAAGTTCATTTTCAAGGGAACACACTGTAACTATTTTACAGGTGGGTTGTTGGAGGTTAAGATACCAGCCAAAAGGCAGGTTCCAGGTTTGAAGAATGGTGTAGTAATGATCTCAACTAGGTTAATGGGAAAATGATAAAATCAAGAAATATTTAGAAGGTATAAGAAAGATGTAGTATGGAGTATGGTAGTACGTGAAGTGTAATTGAAATTAATAGTATGAGGAAAATGAGAAGAAAGGGAAGTCTAAAATAACATGTTGAAGAAGTCAAGATTTACTGTACAGAAGAAAAAAAGGAAAAACTCTCTCCCCTCCTGCACCACCAAACACCAGTTTCCTTTCCCTTAGTCCAAGATCCCTTAAAGTTTATTCTTCCTCAAGCAACACTGAATTATAGGTTAGCTTCACTGAATATCTTTTATGCTCAAGAATCACCATTTATAGGATTTATATAATATCTAGTGTTCTGTGTATAATATAAAAACAAAGATAATTTTTAAAATCCTAATGATAGTCTTTGGGAAAGAGATTTATGTTGTGCCAGATAATTAGGCTTATACCTCATATACTATATGATACATGACTTAATGAATTGCCAGTAAGTAGGCCACCCTGTTCTATACTTTTTAAAAAATATATTTATTTTTTAGTTGTATTTGGACATAATACCTTTATTTATTTATTTTTATATAGTGCTGAGGATTGAACCCAGGGCCTTGCATGTGCTAGGTGAGCACTCTACCACTGAGTTCCAGCCCCAGCCCCTGTTCTATACTTTTAAAACTACTTTTTTAAAAAGGTGAACACATCCTTGAAGGGAGACTTTGCAATCAGTTCAACATGCTATTAATACTTGAAAAGTGTTAAATTATCCTAATCATACTTACAGTAACAATCAAAATTAATTGCAGCTATATTAGGATTACTTATTATTTGTTCTACTTCAGCAGTAACACAAATCCAATTGTACAAACAATTTCCATAATCCAAATTGTGAAAGAAAGAACGGGGTAACAACCATTCAAAGCTGGTTGAAATAGTATTCCAAACAAATCCTTAACCAGATGGTTATCTAAAATTCTCTTTTTGAAAAGGAGCCGATTCTGAACAGATTGTATATGTGTCTCACTGGTGGAAGTGGATTATCTGTCTTGAATTGGATTGTGATGACGATGACCCTATTCTAAGTAAACCAAATCTCTTGAACTATATAATGAGATCAGGAAGAACATTCAGCTCGAGAACGACAGATTGCAGTGACTGAGATGATTTTGCTAATGTTTTTTCCCAGCCTCTTTCCTTGATGTACATTATCCTATGTTGTTATTTTTTTTTCCTACTGAGATTCCTGGTTTTTAGTTCTATGTGCTAATTTTTCTTTCTTTTTATTTTATTATTTTTATAAGTGGAGCTGAATGAGTGGCAGGAAGCTGCGAAATCTATCTTACAAAAAGGTGGTGTGGAAGTGTAGAATCTTCATTTACTGTGCAGCAGGACTGCAGAACAATCGCCAAGAGTAGACATTTGACCGATTCATTCTGATTTCTTCTCTTCTGATTTCTTCTCTTTAGGCCGTGAGGAGGCAAAAGTTGCTTGAACAGAGTATCCAGTCTGCCCAGGAGATTGAAAAATCCTTACACTTAATTCAGGAATCCCTTGCATTCATTGACAAGCAGTTGGCAGCTTATATTGCTGAAAAAGTGGATGCAGCTCAAATGCCTCAGGAAGCACAGGCAAGTACAACTAAATGGGAATGAGCTTCTGTTCTTTCATTTTTATTATCCAAACTGGAGGTTGCTGAGTTTCTAACTTAATGATTATTTAACTAATTATATAGAGGGTTGATTTGATTGAGTTTACTATTTGGAGATGAGAGGTAAAAGAGGGCTAGGATAGTACTGTGAAATTTACTTTTCAAAGTATATACAAGAATTTCAAATAGAGATACTTAAAAGGCAGGGAGATCTGGCATTTATCCATGTCTTCAAACTATGCTAAACATAGAAACCATAGTAACGTAGATGGTAAAGAAAATATCTTTATGGTACTCAAAGTAGTCTCCAACATTTTGTTATCATGGAATTATAAGTCATCTTTGTTATCATGGGATTACAAGTCATATGATTTCTGGTTCTATGATAATGTATTGAAAGTAGTTGATAGCACTAAATTAGGTAAATTTGCATCTTATCACTACTGATCATGATGGTTACACTCATATGGGCACACTGAAACATTCACTCATATTTAATCCAAATTGTGAAATGTATTTAACCAGATTTTCTAGAATGAGAATTAAAATAATAATGAAATCACATCTAAGTTGAATTTAAAATGAGTAAATTTATGTCATCTCTAAATTTCCTTTGAACTTTGGAAGTATTTTTAAACTGCTAAGTATTTTAAAACAACTTCTAAATGCATGTAAAGTATCAGAAGGTATTATTTATCAAGTGTCTTTAGAATTGTTTGCTATTAAGGTAATCTAGCTACTTTTTTGAGTACTATATGCATATTATGAACCTATGAGCCAACCTATGAGCTTGTAACTTAAATATACTAGCAGTGATGTCAGGGGCATTAGAAGATAATCTATAAATTCTAAAGGCCCTCTCTGTGCTGACTGCTAGAGATACCGGAAGTTTCTCACTTTACAATCAGTTTTGAGGTAAAATACTAGATTGTAGATGATGGTTCCAGTGCAGTTACAGTGCATTGAATCACAGTGAAGTTGGTGCCCAAGGCATCAGTGGCCATAATAGCATGGGTTAGTATACCATATTGTCTATGTTTGACCTAGAAAGTTGCTCAGAATGTGGGGAAGAGGACAGGTAGTTTTGATAGGCTCAAAAAGTTCAGAGCAGAGGAATTCCTTATGGAATGCACACCATTTCAAAGTAGGGTGAAAAAGGGGAAGTATGGGGGAAATCTTGATTTTAAAAACTTCTTATCTTAGATTTTCACTGGGACAGCAAGAGTAAATACAGTAGTACAAATGGAGGATGGTAGTAAACATGATTGAGCATCTTAATGTCTCCAGTCTGTACATTTTTTTTAATAAATGCAAAAGTCTAGTCAAGTTCTCTAACATTAACTCTTCCTGGTACCATCCCAATTCGACTCATACAGAAAATTTTACAGTCAGATCTTAGTGAAATGCAAGATATTGAAATAAGAAATAATTAGCTGAATTGAGAAGGAATTCACAATTATAAAATAAATACAAATAAGTAGTTCTTTTTCACAATTTAGTGATATGAACTTAAATGAATGTTTGATTAAAGAATGCTCAAAACTTTCTGAATGGGAGTGAGGAAAAAATTGTCACAATAAATATTAAACTTTAAAATTATAAATTTGTACTTTAAAATATACAAAGAATTAATCATGAGGTTTGTAGGATGAAAATATAAGTAGCAAATCCAAAATAGACTAAAGATTTTTTTTGGCTTAGAAGAAAAATGGAGAATCTGGGAAAACATTTTTCTTTAACTGAAAAGGTTATGGTATAGGACCCTGCATGCATTCTTTTACTTGGATATGAATATGATATACTAGTTTTTAATATATTTTTATACTCTTAAAAGTTGATAATAAAAGCAGTATTAACTGTAGCAGTTGAGAAGTACTTGCAGGTCAACATAGGTAAATGAAGATAGTTCCAATCTACTTCAACAAAGAGATTTTAGAGTACTAAGAAGCTCAAATTCATTTACCATATATTTCTGATTTGCACTGGCATTGTCAAGATACTTTTTAATATTGAATCCCCCAGTGGTAATATATAATATTGGGAAATGGAAGCCATCTAAAAGCTACTGAAACATTCTTCTTCTTTAAGGTTTTATTTTAAGATGAGAATAAATGAATTATTTCCTGGAACAGTTATCAATACTTAGATTTTCTTCAAGGACTACATTTCCTAAAGCTCAATTTGAAAATCCCATGTAAGAAACAAATAGAGAGTAAAAAAGTCGTTTGTTAAATAAGAACTTAATCACAGTGTGTCAAACACCAGACCTACTTAGAATGCCACCAAAATGACATTTTTCAAACTGTGTATATATGACATACATACACAATAGGTGAAAATTTAATGTTTTATGTTAACAGCAACAAATGTGTTTCTTTAATGGGGGTAAAATTTTATTCTAAATAAAAGATTAAATGGCTTTGTTTTCCCTTTTCAGAAATTGCAAGTTAATTTAATTCATCTCTGAGAATCAGGACAAAATGAATGACATTGCCATATTTAGTGCTCTTTTCAATATGTGCTTACATTTTCTGTGAATACTGATAGAACAGATTTGTGGATATCTTACTCCACCGTGTGGTATACTGATAGTTTTGCTACTAAATTTTAATCTGTTAATAGACTTGCCTTTTCCTGCCTTTTAAGATTGATTGAGATCCTCAGCTATAAAAACATTCCAGAATCAAGGAAATGTGTGCCATATGTATAAATTCCTGATTATTACTATTATCTATAAAAGTAGATGTAAACCAAGGTACTTCATTTCATTCACATTTGACTAACTATATGACCAAAAAGAGCTTCCTACTTCTTCAGCATGTGTATTGACTCAAAGTTATCTGGCATAATTAGAAAATTGAGCCCTTTGTTTCTGAATTGGATTGAAAAAATTACTTTTTTATCTAGAGATGTGAACTCACAAAAGCAAAATTTAATCACTTAGACAATAAAACTAAATACTACAAGAATATCATCATAGCATGACCTATGAGTATTTTCTTTCGAATAATAGCCCATAACCAAACCATAATCTTAAATGGTATGATTGCAGCTCAGCTGCTCAGTGCCAGCTCACTTGCCAAGTTTTATTAAACTATAAAACCAAAATGGTAATGTATTGATTCAAATGGAATAAAACACATAGGCAAATATTTATATATCTAGAAATATATCTTCTATAGTAGAAACCAGAAACTGAAGAACTAGTTTAAAACCATTATGATTAAAAATATAAAGCCATGTGTTTCTTTGAAACAATTATAAAAATAAAATCACAAAATTATGTAACTGCAAATAAACACATGTCATGATTATATTGTGTATGTCTTAGTTTTCCAGCACTATATACTGAGTACAGGTTAAGTTTTGGCACCTAAGATGCCAAAAATCAACTATCCAGGCTGTACCAGTCAAGTCAGAATCTAGGTATACCCAGTCATTCCAAATTTTAGAAACTCTCCCTCACCCATGGCTTTGTCAAGATGTCAATGAAAGGAAGTGAGAGTGATAATCAAATTACTATGATTTTCTCTCCTATTTCAATTGTCTTCTCCCTCTTATAAAAATGGGGGAAGGTAGAAAATGTAGAGAAGGTAGAAAAATGGCGAGATCTACTTCACAAAATAATTTAGACCAATAGGATTTTCAGTAAGGATATTTTAGACTGAACTCAGTATGTTCTTCTTATTTCCATTTTTTTCTAATATCACATGTGTTAATTGGCTTGGATGTGCCTCTAAATAAATTTAGGGGTCACTGATAAGTAGGTTTAAATAGCTACTCACATGTCTATAATTCTTGAAATTACAAAAAATACTTCAACACACTTTTTCTCCTTTTGAAGTAATTTCAGTTTTTGAATGTAAGAATGATATGTATATCATAGGCAACTGTTAAATTTATACATGTCATTATGTGTTGCTGATTCAAATTTTGCAAAGGAGAATATGACCATATTATTTAGATTATTGCAAGAAGCAGGGAGTTTCCCAGCAGCAATTATAATAGCATAACATTTTATTTCATGTATTTCACATATTTCAGTTCCCATATTTTGTAATCTCCCACAGAGTAGATTTATGTTCATGAATCAAGAAATGAAAATAGACTAATTTAGAAAACAAATTATTATCTACGGAGAAGACATCAAAATAAATTAGAAAATTGGTGCTAATATTTCATTGGCCATGCTGGGACTTTTGACATCCCAGGGTATCTACCACAGACTCAGTTTCTTCCTTCCATCTCTTTTGCTTCCCATATAGTACCAGTAAATAGAAAAGAAACTTTTTAAACCAAAGTTGTTAATTTAAGCTGATTACATTAGCTTTTACATTAGAAAAATTCATAATTGAGGTATTCTGTTTATAGTAGCTAAACCTTTTACTCACATTGAATATACTTGATCATAGATACATGAAAACATTGCAAAATATCAAAATCAGCAGCTTAAAAATAAAGACATGAATGTGTCTTTTGGTCTATCAGATTGAGTTTATGTGATAATTAACCAAAGAAGAAGAAAAGGAGTGACTAATATAGAGGTTTGGCCCAAGTATTTCTCACCTACCCATGACAGAAATAATTTTCTTATTCTTAAAAGTAGATACAATGGTAAATTCTGTGCATTTAATGTCAAATCTGTCATAACCCTGCCTACTACCTCTATGTGTTAGTATATAGAAGTGATTATTTGCCAACTTAGAATGACTGTTTTTTTATTTTGACATGTTTAGTTGTTGGAAATAATCATAACAAAGAATTGGAGAAGAGTTACAAGATTAGATACATGCCACACATCATGGACTAAGAAAAACTCTATAGTAAAGAAATGTGAATTTTATATGATAAATTCAGAAGTGTACACACTAAATCTACAATTAAATTCTAGTATCTTATTGTAAAAAATACCTCCACAAATTCTAAATATAAAGATGAAACTAGAAGCTTCATACTACAGTCACAATGAAGATTCTCACA